CCCCTCAGCGAGGCGCCCCGCTGTCCCGTCTCACCCCCGGCCGCGTTTCCTCTCGCAGGAGGCAGCAGTACGTGGGGAAGCTCAAGTTCGCCTCCTTGGAGGCCTCGCAGGGTTCGAAGAAGCTGATCGTGGCCACCGAGAAGAACGTCGTGGCCGCCCTCAACTCCAGGAGCGGCGAAATCCGTGAGCGAAGCGGGGCTTTGCGGTGGGGAGTGTGCCTGCTGCGCTGGGGCTAATGCGTCGGTCACGCTGCGCTGTGCTTTCGCGGTACGTGGGGAAGCTCAAGTTCGCCTCCTTGGAGGCCTCGCAGGGTTCGAAGAAGCTGATCGTGGCCACCGAGAAGAACGTCGTGGCCGCCCTCAACTCCAGGAGCGGCGAAATCCGTGAGCGAAGCGGGGCTTTGCGGTGGGGAGTGTGCCTGCTGCGCTGGGGCTAATGCGTCGGTCACGCTGCGCTGTGCTTTCGCGCTGGTCCTGCTGCTTCGTCAGGCTGGGAGGGTTCAGCTGGCGGCTCTAAAGCCCTTGTGTAGGGCAGGCAGACTGTTCTCTGCACGAGATTATTGCCTGGAAGAGTGTAGCTTTACAAATAATAATAAATGTCATTGGAGGAACAAATCTTGTTCTCGCTTAACTCTTGTTTCCTTCAGTGTGGCGCCATGTAGACAAGGGCACCCCCGAAGGAGCGATAGATGCGATGCTGATCCACGGGCAGGGTAAGAGAACGCGCAGACGGTGGGCTAGGGCCAGCAGCTTGTGCATGGGGTCTCAGCCGCGTGTTAGACCACAAGCTGAACTTGCCAGAGCTCCTCGTCTTGTTGATCTGTGGTGCGATACAGGTTCTGTGTTCATCTTCTTTTCTTAATTTTCTGGGCAGATGCCATCACTGTGTCCAATGCTGGACGTATTCTGCGTTCCTGGGAGACCAACATCGGAGGGTTGAACTGGGAGACATCCCTGGACACTGGCAGGTGGGCTTTCATGCTGGCACTGCCTTTTTCTCTTCGTAGTGCTGGTCTAGGAAGGAAGAATGGAGTTGTTGACAGTGTCTGGACTTGCATTATGGAGAAAGATTAATTAAATGTAAAGTTTCCAAAATAACATTGGGTGAATTCTTTATGAATGCCTGAACCTTGCAGTTAAATCTAATGCTGTTTCTATTCCCTGGCAAATAAGTAAGAGGAAGAGATATGGATTTTTTTCATAGATGGATTTTCTCTTTAAATATCCGTGTTCAACCTGCATCTGGTTTCGGGTGTTTGGATTCCAGCCTAATCCTCTGTGTTTACATCAGCAAGGATAGATAAAGCGGGCTATAAATTGTTCTTTAAGATTGTTATTAAATGTTTGAAGAAGGTCTTCAGAGTGTTGGGTTTTTTTAATGATTATTCCTAAAAGAAAGTAATTTTCTAACTTGCTGTCTCTGCCCTGTGCTTAGTTTCCAGGTGGCTAGTTTGGTGGGGCTACAGGACGTGGTGAAATACGTGGCAGTCCTGAAGAAGGCAGCCATCTCTCTTCACTACCTTTCCAATGGGCACCAGAAATGGGTGGAACACTTACCAGAAAGGTAAGAGTGCGTATTAAGCAGAAGTGTAAACTTCTGACAGGGAGCCTGTTGCCTGGGAGAGGAAAGGATGTACAAGCTGTACTTGCCTTATGCTTTTGAAAGCATCTGAAAACAGGAGTGTGAGAAGATGATGGTTCGTGATTGCTGCTTCTCTTGCAGTGAGAGTACTCAGTACCAGTTGTTGTATTCCCATGGGACTGGAGTGATCCACGTGCTTGGAATCGTTCCCCAGAGCCACTTGAGCGTTTTAACATTCAGTGTAGAAGATGGAGAACTTACGAAACAGGTACTGCTCAACTATGGATCCAGAATACTGAATTTGATGTTGACAAATGTGCTTCCAACTAGATGGGCTGTGGTGTGGTCTGCAGAGTAATGAATCGTTCTATGACAGATAAACTTCCCTTTCACGGTGGCATTGCCCACAGGCCAGTAAATAGATTTCACTGATGAATGCTCTGAAAGCAAAACTGAATTAAACTTGCAGCTGTTAGTCAAGACTATCGTGGAAATCTGAGGCTGATAGATAGTTTCTCCCAGGGCCAAGAGTAGAAATAATTCTGATGTAAATTCTTGGTTCTGTCCAAGTTAGTTCTTTGAAGATTTTGTTCTATTGACAGCTCCATCTCTTTATTTACATCTTGCTTGGCAGATGAGAGTAGCAGCCCCGTGGCTGAAGAGCTTAAACGGCGTGTGCAACGTGGTGGGGGAGGCAGTGCTGGGGTGCGTGGACGCGGACACGCATTCGCTTTATGTCTGCTCCTTGGAGACGGAGCAGGAGATGAAGCAGATCCCGCTGCAGGTGAGAAGTGCTGGAAGAGCAGCGTGCGTGCTTCCTTGCCCAGCTGGTTTGGTGCCTGACTGAGCCTGGCAGCGCAGGGTGTTGTCCTGTTGGTAAACGGCAGGATGATTGAAGAGGTGTGGGGGGGATTGTCATCCATAAATTGAGGGCAGGGAGAGAAGACTTCTTGTCTGTGCAATCATTCCGTCTGGATTGGTGAGCTTTGCTCCGATGGGAGCCTAGGCCTCCTTCTGCTCTGTTTATCCTGACGTGGGGAACCTCTTGATAAAGCTTGTACTGCTGCTGATGAAAGGAAGGTGTTAGTTTTGGTGAAGAAACAAAGGTCTTAGAACGCGTATGCTTGTCTCCCTTTCACAGTCACTTGACCTGGAGTTTGCCGATGGCTTCCAGCCCAGGGTATTGGCCACTCAACCCAATGCAGTCAGCGCTTCACGGACTCAGTTCTTCCTGCTGCTCTCTCCGAGCCACTCCTCTCTGCTGCAGTACAAACACGGGCTGCTCAGCCACCTTCGGGACTTCCAGCAGGTAGCCACGATAGATCTACTCAAGCGAGAGGGCCAACTGCACCTTAAAACTCTTTGAAACAAGCACACACCTCTATACTGCGTGTTCTGAACAAGCTGCTGAGCTGCGCATTTCAATTGTGCTCTTGGCTGCAGCACTTAAAAACCATTTGATTTCATTTATAGTAGCTGCTGAAATATTTCCAGACGTCAGGGTAGGTACGCTTTGTGCCCAACAGCTGGGAGCGTTGGGGTCGTTTCCTGGTGTCGAGGTAGATGGAGGCGCGTGTCTAAGCGGCCAGTGGTGCCGCAGTACGTTTGTTAGGCCAGCTGAGAGGCTGTGAAAAGCAAACAAGCTTTGAAAAGCTCAGTAGCGCTGGACATAATGGTTCAAAAGCCAGCTGTTTCCATCTTTATGAGAAGTATTTTCAGTCTTATAAGAGATTTATTTTTATTTGATGAAACAATGAAATTTAAAATCTGGCTGTGGAAGATCATCTGTTTTTAATTCCAGTTTGGCTTAATTTGCTGCACAGGTAGTTTTTGGTGAGGGTTGGAGATTTTCTTGTATGTTTTATGATTTCCAGCTGGTTTATTTTCTTTTCAGGCAGCTCTGGTGAGTTTTGCAACGACTGGGGAGAAAACTGTGGCTGGTGTCCTGACCTGCCGCAGTGAACTGGTGAGCACGATTTGCCTGTACTGTGTCACCCGCACCATTCTGGTGTGGATATGCACTGGGGGTGGGTTCCACACGTGTTCTCCTTCGCAGGCCCAGGGGTGGGTAGGAACTTGAGGAAGAGGAAGATTTAGTCAGCTGCTTAGACATATGAAGACAATGGTAATGCAAGCAGGTCTTGGTTATGTCCAGCTGAGGCTGTCTCTGGCTTGGCGAAGCACGCTGTCCCGTGTGCAGC